ATATAACTTAAAAATTCTTTGCAACGTTTAGACATAAATAGTCGAACAAACGCTTTACGTCACCGCCCTGCTGGACAGCTGAACGACTGTCGACGTCGTCAATGTGACCTTCGGAATATTCGGTCGCACGACCATTTCGATGTTGTCTGGCCGCGGAGTATCTTTGTCATGGATGAACTTGTACGATTCGCTTTCGACGTCCACGGCGACCGAGTAGAAAAACAAATAGCGTGCTTTTGACTAAACGCAAAGTAAAAGTGCATATATTAAAGAAGCAACGAAATAACAAGAAAACAAAACAACGAACAAACAAATAAAGCAAAACAATAACTCGTACCGAAATCAACACAGCGCTGCTGTCTGGCTTCCACAGAATACACTCGTTCTCGCCCCTGACGAACACGTCGTTCGGCGAACGCTGGTGGCAACAGAGCATGACACGGGGATGCGTGTAGTAGAGCAACAAAGCATTTCTCCACAGCACGGCTGCGATCGTCCGCTCTCGGTTGCACAGCACCCATTTGACGCCGCCAACGAAGCTTTTGCCAGGGTTTTTAATCTCAATAGGTGAGCTTACAGGAAACATTAGCACATTGTCATTGAGTCCTAAAAACAGTAACATATCATGAAGATAAACATATGCGCAATGTCACCGAAAGGGGCCAAAGCGTTCACTTGATGTCTGTTCATAATTTACCTTTTCGGCTCAAACACCGACGTCAAAGGTGGTCAGCAATAACAAATACTGCCTCACAAATATTCTATATGATCCATGCCAAAATCCGTAGGATGTAAATGCAGTAAAACGGCTTATGCGAACTTTAGATATAATTCCAATTTTCATTTAAAATTAAGAGTGAAGAAACAAACGCTTCTTCTATCCCATGCTTCTGATCCATATATCCATATTTCCATGCCTTTCTTTTCTTAAACCATTTTTTCTGTCCATTTTTTTGCCACTTACCATTCTTCCTCTTCATTTGCTGCCAGTCATACCTACGAATAACTCCTCCAAAGCAACTAATTTCTTTGAACTGAATTTACTGCTTAAAATATAGCTGTAGCTAAGTCCTCCAGCATAATTCGATAAAAACTTCATCACTCCTTGGAATGTGATTATTCAAACAGCGTGCGGTAAATGGAACGATGGATTCAATGTAAAGCTCTGTACAAATGAATATTAATAATTTGGTACTGTATCGGCTTGTAGCGAAAGACTCTTGCATTGTGAACCATTCAATGGGTGACTGACAGCATCACAGGATCTTTTCAGCTAGCTTCAGCATATACTCTAGTCTAGATGCGTCCGCTTAAAATCAGTTTGCTCATGCCCGGAAAAAATGACTTGACCTGCATAAATGAGCATAGGTAAGAAGCATGCGACGGCAAATCTTTGCAATACTACTGTCGATACATCGGCGTTTATCAGGTAACGTGCATAGACGCCTTTCTGGTTTTTTTGAAAACAGTCGCTATACGAGCTGGTCATTTTAAGTCTGAGGAAAGACGATGCCCAATATTGTGACCTCGCTCACAGTTGGAATAATTCACCCCAGGATTCGAGACGAGCACCGTGGCTTGAGGGCTTGAGGTCAGACCAAAGCACATCTGATCAGATATTCGCCGTACGCGAGTTTTTGAAAAATCGTGGGAGAATGCATATCCGGTGTACATGTGCCTTGTGGACCTAGGAAAAGCCTACTGCCGGATCCTACGCAGCAATCTATGGGCATGCCTGAGAACATGCGGGATCGATGGTCAGTTGCTACGGGCCATCCAATCACTATATGCTTACAGTGGGTACCGCGTCAGAACAAATGGCGTTAATTCGAGACCACTCATTGCTGACATTGCACCTCTCGAAGTGTGCGCTCTGTCCGCTTCTCTTATTTGTGGTGTACATGGACAAAATAGTCAGTCGCGGCGTGGAAGATATCGAGACGAGAAGACTCTGCAGACAATCCTATTTTGTTAGCATCTTCTGAAACTGATCCGGCCTCTGGAAAGGTTGGCAGACGAGGGCGACGTAGTAGGCACACGTGTGAACGCATCTGATACGAAAAACCTAGTGCTTTCTTGTTCTCCTGCTCGTTGCTCTCTTTAAACTAGCAGGTTGAGAAGCTCAAGTAGCGTTCAAGTCGTGTTTACTAGTGATGTAAAATTTTAGGAAGAGATCGACAGGCGAATTGGAATAATCAGTAGTGCTCTGCGAGGTCGAACGACTGTGATTAAAGCAG